GCTCTCGCTCTCTGCCTAGAGAGAGGGAGAACCGGCTGCCGTGCCAGGGGATGGCTGCTCCACCCGTGCCCACCCGCACGAGAGGCTGGACTCACCGAGGCGTAGAGCCGTCCTCTCTTGTTCATGGCCAGGTACCGCCCGGAGAAGAGCCCCTTGATGGCCACAATGCCCACCTCCACCGCCGTGATCTCCAGGATGCCTGGGGAGAGGTGGGGGGCTCATCACTCGGCCCGCCTCTCACCCAGCACAGGGCGAGGCGTGAGGGCCAAGTGCCTGACAGTCCTGCCCAAAGCTGAAACGCACCCCCAGGAGGGCGACTTTGGAAGTTCAGGGGAGAGAGAAATTCCCGGGCAGGAGGCGTAAAGGTGGAGCGGCAGGGGAGGGCTCCAAGGGGGAGAGCTCAAACCTGGAGGGGGGCTAGACTAAAGCTCCCAATTCCACACCCACTCTAGCCAGCCGCCCACCGTGGCCTTCAAGGCCGTGGAGACAACCTTGCCAGCTAGTGTCATAAGATTGCTGAGGTTGCCCCCGGCCAGACACACACACGTGTTTGACCTGGATTCAGACTCGGGCTGCAGACACTAGCTGCACCTGGACCGCGGTGCCATGGGGTCCTGGGGTGGGAAAGCTGGGGCCCTGGGTGGTAACACGATCCAGACGGCACACGGAGGGTGTCACCTAAACCCGAAGGCGTTGGACCTGGGCGGGAGATGACTGTCCCAGGCGGTGGGAGAGGTCCCGCTGGGTTAGACCCCGGAGCTCACAAAGGGAGGCAGGTTGGGCGCGCCCGCTCCCCACTGGGTGTCGGAGAGTTTCATCTCCACCAAGGCAGCGTTTCCTTCTGGACCTAAGAGCCCTTTTCCTTGGGGGAGAGGGGGGGCAACAAAGGCCCGGGTGGGGCCATTGTCCTGAGAACAGCTCCGAGGGGGATGGGGTGCCGCTGGTGGCCTCTCCAGGGGGCGCCTCTCTAGCCAGCTGGGGGGTGATCTGGGCAGGGATCCCAGGGTCTCCAAAGCGCTGGGGTGGGGGTGCAGGCTACGGGCCTCTGGCGTCCCCTGGGCGCGGGCTGGGCGGGGACCAGAGAAACGCGACCAGGATGCGGGAGAGGAGCGACGGCAGGCGCGTGCCCTCCTCCGGCTCCCGGCTGCCCGCCTTGGGTAACCCCAAAAGGCGGATGCTCTGAGACTCCGGAGGGGAGACCGAGCTTGGAGAGAAGCGGGGCGCCCCTGGGAGGCGAGCAGGGGCGCTCGGTGGCCCGGCCCCGCGCGCGGGGCAGCCCTGGCGACAGTCGGTCTCCACC